CGAGAACATTGTAAATAAACACGACGACGTACGGGAACAAAAACAAAACAACATACTAACCGCTGTTACCGTTTGCGATCGATTTCCGGTTCGATAGGAGTGATGAAAAACCGACGAAATTATATTATTAATAAATCGTAATAAATCGTAATAAATCGTAGTAAATCGTAATAAATCGTAATAAATCGTAATAAATCGTAATAAATCGTAATAAATCGTAATAAATCGTAATAAATCGTAATAAATCATAATAAATCGTGATAAATCGACGAATTAAATTAGTAAGATTTGAGTAAGTACTAAACACGACGACGTACGGGAACAAAAACAAAACAACATACTAACCGCTGTTACCGTTTGCGATCGATTGCCGGTTCGATAGGAATGATGAAAAACCGACGAAATTATATTATTAATAAATCGTAATAAACCGTAATAAACCGTAATAAATCGTAATAAATCGTAATAAATCGTAATAAATCGTAATAAATCTCAATAAATCGTAATAAATCGTAATAAATCGTAATAAATCGTAATAAACCGTAATAAATCGTAATAAACCGTAATGAACCGTAATAAACCGTAATAAACCGTAATAAATCGTAATAAATCGTAATAAATCGTAATAAATCGTAATAAATCGTAATAAATCTCAATAAATCGTAATAAATCGTAATAAATCGTAATAAATCGTAATAAACCGTAATAAATCGTAATAAACCGTAATGAACCGTAATAAACCGTAATAAACCGTAATAAATCGTAATAAATCGTAATAAATCGTAATAAATCGTAATAAATCGTAATAAATCGTAATAAATCGTAATAAATCGTAATAAATCGTAATAAATCGTAATAAACCGTAATAAACCGTAATGAACCGTAATGAACCGTAATAAACCGTAATAAACCGTAATAAACCGTAATAAATCGTAATAAATCGTAATAAATCGTAATAAATCGTAATAAATCGTAATAAATCGTAATAACTCATAATAAATCGTGATAAATCGACGAATTAAATTAGTAAGATTTAAGTAAGTAGTAAACACGACGACGTACGGGAATAAAAACAACATACTAACCGCTGTTACCGTTTGCGATCGATTGCCGGTTCGATAGGAATGATGAAAAACCGACGAAATTATATTATTAATAAATCGTAATAAACCGTAATAAACCGTAATAAACCGTAATAAACCATAATAAATCGTAATAAATCGTAATAAATCGTAATAAATCGTAATAAATCGTAGTAAATCGTAGTAAATCGTAGTAAATCGTAGTAAATCGTAATAAATCGTAATAAATCGTAATAAATCGTAATAAATCGTAATAAATCGTAATAAATCGCAATAAATCTCAATAAATCGTAATGTATCGTAATAAATTGTAATAAATCGTAATAAACCGTAATAAATCGTAATAAACCGTAATGAACCGTAATAAACCGTAATAAGCCGTAATAAACCGTAATAAACCGTAATAAATCGTAATAAATCGTAATAAATCGTAATAAATCGTAATAAATCGTAATAAATCGTAATAAATCGTAATAAATCGTAATAAATCGTAATAAATCGTAATAAATCGTAATAAATCGTAATAAATCGTAATAAATCGTAATAAATCGTAATAAATCGTAATAAATCGTAATAAATCGTAATAAATCGTAATAAATCGTAATAAATCGACGAATTAAATTAGTAAGATTTAAGTAAGTAGTAAACACGACGACGTACGGGAACAAAAACAAAACAACATACTAACCGCTGTTACCGTTTGCTATCGATTGCCGGTTCGATAGGAATGATGAAAAACCGACGAAATTATATTATTAATAAATCGTAATAAATCGTAATAAATCGTAATAAATCGTAATAAATCGTAGTAAATCGTAGTAAATCGTAGTAAATCGTAGTAAATCATAATAAATCGTAATAAATCGTAATAAATCGTAATAAATCGTAATAAATCGTAATAAATCGTAATAAATCGTAATAAATCGTAATAAATCGTAATAAATCGTAATAAATCGTAATAAATCGTAATAAATCGTAATAAATCGTAATAAATCGTAATAAATCGTAATAAATCGTAATAAATCGTAATAAATCGTAATAAATCGACGAATTAAATTAGTAAGATTGTGGTGATTGTGGTCGATACAAAGCACTTAAGGTTGTAGACTATAAAGCCATTTAGACAAAAATTTATTGACTTTTGGACGATGGGTCATATGAACTTTTTGACTTGTTCTCACCCCCCTATTACCCATTTCGATAATGAATACCATAACGTTTACACCCTGTATAAACATATTGATATACGGTAGTTACAACAGTTTTTTTAACTTTTTTGATTTCGAAAATACGTGCAGAATGCTTCTCTTGTTCTTAGTACTTAGTTCTCACGAAACGAATGCACTCTAGGAAAAACACAAGAGTAATTATTTGAATTATTGAAGGTAAACCGGAAAATTGCGCATTTCTAAAAAAAAACAGTGGCGTACTATTTTTATTTGGAAAAGTAATGTTACTAATCCCCTGTAGCTCCGCCACTGGTGCACAGTAATTTTAAGTAAAGACCTTTGAATGCTCAGGTAAATCCACATACCAAATCTTAGCTCATTCCAGTTGATGGTTTTGAGGATATTAAGAAAAGCTGTTTTTTATTTTTAAACTTCAATGTTGTCAATGAAGCCCTCTAGGAAAAAATGCTACATAGAAGATCCCCTTTAAAATGCGCTCCTGTGTACGATGTTTCATTTTTGGTCACGACTTGTGAATCACCCCGTATATCGATAGAAGTTTCTCGGCCTGAGTGAATACGAACTTTTTTTAAATAATCTGCCTTTCAATTTCCTTGGTAACATGCTGTAACACCGTGACGTAAATCCAGATAACGTAACAAATCAAAAACTCACCCAAAGGAAAAATCTACGTGATCATAATGCGTATACTCCCCTCTCCGTTGACAGCTATTCTCGTTCAGGTGAGCAGTGTATGTGACGTTATGTCTCTTCAGGAAGAAGTCAGCATTTTTCAGGTACTTATTGACGTGGTTTTGGAGATCGTCTTCCCTGCAAGATGCTGGCATGCACCATCCCATTAGGACGATATTCCTTGCTTGCTGAGAAGGATCTTTTTTGTCCTGCAACAAAAATGGAGGCGTGGATTCAATCCAAATCAATATCAGTTTCTTTGATCCGAAATACGTATGATAATGGTCGGAATTGCATATAGAAACGTCCAGTGACAGTGTGTGGTCACAAAAATGGACAAACATGTTTTAGTCTAGAACATTGATTCCCAAGGTGGTCGATATCGACACCTAGGGGTCTATGACAACCTGCAAGGGGTCTACGTCAGCGAAAAAATATTTGGGGGTCCATGAAATGAATATGGGGGTCCACGATAGTGGATCTCAACACATACACTGATAGTACCTATTTACTTACATCATACTATCTTATAATATCAAAACATATACATTATTTATAAAAGTACCTATGAAGTAAAAAATTTATTATATACGTTTATAAAATTGTGTAAGTTGTAGGATGTTGGTATTCGCTTTGTGGTCGCAATACATTTTAAACTTGTAAAAACCTGAGAGTCGCAGTCTCGGAGCTTCGCTACCTTGCACTGACCTGTTCAATTCGTCACTCTATAAATACGAATGTGGAACAAATACGTTTATTCGTTTCCTGAATCTTGAAAAGGAAAGTGCTAAGAAAATATTTAAAAAAATATAAACAGATAGTATATCACACAAATTATAGTGAGTCAGTGTTATTTTGTTTGAGAGTGCTGGAGAAAAGTAAGTACATTATTTTTTATTAAATTTTATATTTGTACTCGTAGTTAGCAAAGATAGATAAATTACGCCAATCATGACTTTAGTTATTAGTAGTTAAATATTCAGTCATGCAAAATTACACGAGTACTCCTCAATAGTTTCTTTTTGAAAGTTTTAGCAATCGGTAATATAATTACAGTGCAATTTCCGTAATTCGAGATAATTGTTCCAAGAAGATGTTCGAATTATGGAATGTTTTCGGAAAAATCAAAAAATATTTTTAACATACATCTGCTGGATTTTCTGTCTTATTTAAATAATTTAATTTTGCCCATAGATGTCTGATGCCATGTCCGAATCTAAAAAGAAATGTAGACAGTACAGTGTTGATTATTTGAAATTTGGCTTCATTCCATCATTGCCGGACAAACAATCGCCTATGTGCCTTTTATGCAACAAAGCTTTGACGCTATGAAACCATCTAAACTGCAAGATCATCTGAGAAGATGCCACCCTGATAAAACAGAGAAAGATTTGAAATACTTTCAAACACTGAAAGATAAATTTCAGAAGAGACCTACACTGGACAATTTGTTCGCTTCGACGTCACAAAGAAATGAAGATGGTTTGCGGGCGTCTTACAACATCTCGTTACTTATATCAAAATCCGGAAAACCGCATACTATCGGAGAGAAGTTAATTTTTCCAGCCGTTGAAGAGGTTTTAAAAACTGTTTTACACAAACCTGCATCTGATATCATTAAAAGAATTCCCTTAAGCAACAATACTGTTGAAAGACGCATTGGTGAAATGAGTTCTGATATTGAAAGCGTCTTATGTAATTATTTGCAAACGACCCATTTCTCTATACAACTGGACGAGTCAACTTTACCTGATAATGCAGCATTATTATTGGCATATCTTCGTTTTATTATGAATCAAGAGATCTACGAAGAACTGCTCTTCGCAAGAACTTTGATAACCGACACTAAAAGTGAATCAATATTTCATGTTTTGAAGGATTACTTCATTGAAAAGGCAATTCCTTTATCAAATATAATATCAGTAGCTACAGATGGAGCACCTGCCATGGTTGGTCGTTATCGTGGATTTATAAGCTATTTAAAACAAAATGTGTCAGGGGTGTTAGCAATACATTGCGTCATCCATCGACAACATTTAGTTGCTAAAAATTTGAGTGTTAGATTGCATGAATCACTTCATTTAGTCATTGATGCAGTATACCGAATCCGAAGCAACGCGTTGAATACGCGGTTATTTGCGCAGTTGTGTGAAGAAAATGTCGAACACTTTCATCAATTACTCCTTCACACTGAAGTACGCTGGCTGTCGAAAGGCTTATGTTTGACAAGATTTTTTGCACTTTCTGAGACTATTTTAGAATTTCTGGATACTAAAGATAAAATTTTAAAAGAAAATTTAACGAAGAGGAAAACAGACATCGCCTATTTAACAGATTTGTTTACAAAATTTAATATGGTTAATTTGCAATTATAAGGCGACAGTTTAAATTTGATCAAAACAAAGTCCATCTTATCAGCGTTTCTTGCCAGAGTTAAACTAATGAAGCAAAATATTGGACGGGACGAATTTTCTCAGTTCCCCAATTTGTCACAGACAAGCTGCCAGGAAGACGACGTTTCAACTTACGTAGAACATTTAAATGCCCTCTATTCAGATTTTGAATCTAGGTTTGAGGATATTTTGACTATGGTAATACCACCGTGGATAATTAATCCATATGGTGACATAGAAGAAACGAATGTCATAATACAAGAGGAACTGACTGAACTAAGTACAAACGAAGAACTTAAGGTTCAGTTTAAAAACGGATATCAGCAATTCTGGCTGCAAAACAACATTCCCGTTACTTATCCCGTATTATAGAATATCGCGAGGAAATTTTTAATTTCCTTTCCATCGTCATACCTAGTGGAAAGGGGGTTCAGCGCTGTTACCAATCTCCTAACGAAAAAAAGAAACAGACTGGACATCGTTAGCCGAGGAGATTTAAGATTAACCCTTACAAAATTGACGCCAAATGTTGATAATTTATTATTAAAGCATCAGGTTCATCCTTCTCACTAAAAATATTGACTTATTGCTTATGTTATTTTATTTATAGTTTATTTTATGTTTATTGGTGTCTGACCAATAAATGCCCGCATTGGGAATAAGTGCCCGCATTGATTTTTTTAAAGAACCCCCCTTTATAGAAATTTTTTTTTAAATTATTCTGAAAATTCAAGGATAGGTACACACTAAAATTCGTTAATTTTTTGCCTATTTTTAGGTAACTTAAACGTATAAGAAGCGGAATTTAATCAAACAAACAGTGAAATTATTGTAGAACACACGTTTATGTTATAATTAATAAACGAACTCGCTTATTGTACTATTTTAGGTAAAAAACTTTTTTTTTATTATTTTTCACTTTTTTTTTTATTTTATCCCTCTTATTTTTTTTCAATGCGGGCACTTATTCCCAATGCGGGCACTTATTGGTCAGACACCTGTTTATTTAATGTTACGTATATTTTACATAACAGATACAAAATTTTATTTTGAGTAGTTTTAATTTAAATTCAATTAATAAATGTATAAATTAACATGTGTTTTTACTTTAAGTTTTTAACACTAAACTTCACTACAGTTAGAAATTTACAGGAAATCAATATCAGGTAAGTAGGGGGTCTACCCTACGGAAAAACATGGCAAGGGGTCTACGACACAAAAAAGTTTGAGGAACTCTGCTCTAGAATGTGGGTCCAACCGATGCATATTTAGGTAACTTAATCTAGTGATTATCGTATACAACCTGAAGATACATACATTTACACGTCCAAACATTATCCGAGATAAAATGGTATCATTTATGAGAATATGCCATACCTGCTTCTCTAGCTACTATACAGGGTGTTTCTAATTCGGCTTTCAAGTAAGGGCAAAGTTGCCTATTTAGGTAGTCAACAAAATGCCGCTTGGAAAGTCTCGAAATTCAAAGCGCTTCCGGAAAAACCCGAATTTTCCTAAAATCTTCTTAAGTTTTCCTGACTTTCTTTGTGGTGGAATGCCAAAATAAATTGCACATTAACATTGCCACTTTTTCTCCTCCACAAAATTAGAATTTCTCTCTCTTTTTGGGCAGCGTTCATAATTCTGATTTCGAAAATGTGAACACGTCATACAGTGATGTTGGCAAGCCTTATTTATTTCGAAAAACGCAGACTTTTCTAGATAGGCCTTAAAATTAGCAGACAGTCATTTGTCTCGTCTACCAGACTGGGAATAAGAGATATATATCTGCAGTGAAAAATGTACAGAGAAGAGTCAGACTTTGCCTACAAAATAACGGACAACATTTTGAAAATTTGCTAAGATTTATCGCTGCTTATTTGTGATTACTAACGTTATCATCAACAACATTTTCATTTTGTGTTCAGGTTTCACCGTACCTTTATTTCCTCATAATTTTCAACCAACAACAAATTCATAGCCAACTGAAGTTAGAACCATTTAAATGTAAAAAATCCAATATAGCGCCATATGAAAAAACAAAGTTAATGATGGATGTCGAAAGAAGAAACGTCGAATTGAACGCCATCTTGTAGAAGAGAATAAGTAACAATGACAATTTATTTTGAATCCCATTCCAAACAAAGTCAGGAAAAAACGCAGCAAAGTTTGTTTTATTTGAAATAGAAAGCGACATTTTTTTTACTATGTGATTTACTTTGATCTCAAACCTTTATCAGTTGAGCTTGTTTTTATTCCAAAAAACATTTTATTTGTCATTTAACTTTATGTTTGCCAGATAAGCACACCAATTTTACTGAATGAAAGCTGATTGTACCAATATGAATGAAGTTCGTCTATTTTGCGTTTTTTAATTCGTTCCTGGTATTTGGCCGGATAGTAATCGAATATTGATTGCAACCCAATCTGCAGCAAGCCGGGTGCGTAGATTTCAAATCAGATGTCGGTATGACGCTAGGGTTAAGTGGTTAATTTTTCACCCAAAGTTTGACCTAGTAGCACTTACAATTTCTCAAACAATCATATTCGATTTCAGTATCCCAGATGACCTCAGTTGTAGCTGCCGATATAAAATATCGATCCTTTTGTATGGAAAAGTAGCACACTTAATTACTTTTTCACCTGATTCTAAGCAAATTTATTGTAAGCTCAATCTAATTATTGCATGTCGGCCAGTATCATGAATACATAAATATACTAAGTGACATATAAATCCGAACACCCAGTTTAAATGGTTTTATTTTAATAAAAGTCGGTGAATGTACGTATATTTATCTTACTGTAAATAACAAGTGAAAAAATTTTCAGCCTTATCAGTTGGACATTCCGGTTTTTATACTGCTTTTTTTTAATTCACTAACGCTCTAAAAATGAATATGTCAGCCGCAGTAAAGAATCAACGTTGGCGGATTTTGGTTCTTGACATCCTTTACGATCGGTTACGATGCCTAGAGTACGGAGACCTGTACGATTTCGTCAACTTGGTGAGTTTGATAGGGGCCGTATAGTGGGACTTCGGGAAGCTGGACTTTCTTTTCGGGTAATTGCAGTTAGAGTGCAAGGAAGTGTAGACACTGTGGTTAGGTGTTGTCAGGCATGGCTTCGAGATGGCCGTACGCAAAGAGCAAGGGGCACTGGACGCCGCCGTGGAACAACAGACCGTGAAGATCGCCGCCTAAGATTATTGGCCTTAAGGGACCGTTTCTCCACTACCAGGTCCATTGCAAATGAATGGTTTGCACAACACGGAAGACCTATTGGCATGCGAAGTGTTTACCGACGAATGAGAAGTTTTGGCTTGTTTTCATACCGGCCACACTGGGTCCTCCCTTTAACTCGAGAACACCAACGTAATCGTCTTGAGTGGTGCAGACAACAGTCACTCTGGGATCAGGAATGGAACAGTATTGTCTTAAGTGACGAGTCTCGATTTTGTTTACGCATGCACGATGGTCGTGCCAGGGTTAGAAGGCGACGTCTTGAAAGGAGGAATCCACAGTTTTCTGTTGAAAGACATGTTCATCACATTGTTGGAGTTATGGTTTGGGGTGCTATAGCTTATGGTTCCAGGTCACCTTCAATCTTCATCAGAGGTAACATGAACGCGCAGCGTTATATCCACGAAGTTCTAGAACCCCATCTTTTACCCTATCTTGACACCCTGGCAGATCCAACTTTCCAACAAGATAATGCCCGACCACATATTGCAAGAGTCACAATAGACTTCTTTCAACAAAATGAGGTCACATTGTTACCATGGCCACCAAGATCTCCCGACTTATCCCCAATTGAGCACGTGTGGGATATGATGGGTAGGAGATTGCTCAATTTGCAACGTCCTCCTTAGACTCTAGAAGCGAGAGGAGTTGCTGGTTGCCTGGAATGAGATACCACAGGAGGACATTGGCCACCTGATCAGAAGCATGCCTAGGCGCGTTGGAGAATGCGCAGCACATCAGGGTGCATCCACACATTATTAAAGGTCAAAGGGCTTTAAAGCAGTGCAATCATTTTGAAATTTTTATCATTTACTTATTATGCTTCATTAAGTACTTATACAAAATTTTATTAAAATAAAACCATTTAAACTGGGTGTTCGGATTTATATGTCACTTAGTATATTCAACTAGTACCTTCTATAACAGCTTCTTATTAATAATCAAAACGAAAGGTCAACACTTTTCAGTGATCTTAACCTTAATTTGAAGTGTTTTGCAGTTACGCTGTATATAACCGCCGAGTTTAGCCTTTTTTCTTATCGCCCACATTGGGTGCTACCTCTCACAGCTGAACATCGGCGTAACCGTTTGCTCTGGTGTAGAGAAAGGATTCTACGGGACCGCGGTTGGAATCTGGTGGTCTTTAGTCTTCTGTCTCGGGATGCACGATGGTCGGGCTTATGGTAGCAGATCACCACTAATTTTCACCAGGACAATGCCAGACCGCTCGTTGCCAAAGACGAAGAGTACGTTTGATGTGGGAGTTTTGGTGAATGTACAACCATAAAGGTGGAACAACCTAGAGTGACAACGATATTGTTGCATTTGAGTTAAGCCTGGGTGTCGCCTAACGCTCCAAGGAACTTGATTTATAACTATAATTGCTATATGTTAGTATATAATCAAAATCAAATTATATCACAAACCTTGAAATTAATGTGTATTGATTTATTCATTATACGGGTGTTTCAGTTTATTGTTGCAAAACTTTAAGATTCGATAGAACTTTTAAAATTAATGCATAAAGTCTATATAAACATGGGTCGAAAATGCGTGGCTTCCGAAATACAGGGTGTTTAAATTTACTTTTTAAAATAGTTTTTTTTAAATATTTCGAACAATATTTGATGTATAACAGCGAAAATTGGTATACAAGGGTTTTTTGGTACGACAAAACGAACCATGGGCATAGTTTTACTGTAGCCGCTAGAGGGCGCTCTCTACTGTACCTGTAGTGTATTAAAATGACCGAAAAATTTTCTTAGTGCAATTTTTTGCTATTTGAATATAAAAACTGATTCTTCGCACTTTTCTGCATAAAAAAGCTATCCTGTGAGTTTTCGTTATAGTCAGCCGTTTTTGAGATATTTCGATTTTTAAGGTTCGATGCATTTTTAATTATTTATGATAAAATAACGTTAAAGTCAGTATCTGGATAATTTTTAGAAGTAGGCTGTGCCTGCAAATAATTTGAAATTGAAAGCAGAATAAGGTTAAACGTCAATTAGTTGACAGTTAGTTTTGTTGTCTGTTGAAACCTGAAACTTTTTTTTGCAATTGTGAATGCACGAAATTTAGTTTCTTTTACGTGTTTTTTTTGTAAATTTTATAAAAATGCCATTTTTATTTTCCAATCAAGAGTTAGCGGATATTCATTTTGTGTATTTCTTTGTAAATGGAAACGCAGCAGAAGCAACCAGAGAATACGCACGAAGATTTCCAAACAGACGACATCCAACTCGCTCAGTATTTGTAAGAGTGCATCGCCAAATAATTAAAAATGGTTTTGGAAATCTACCGTAATCGACTATTTGAACCCTACCTTTTGCCTGC